ATGACCATTTAACTTTTATTATGAATATTTTGATTAGAATATTTATATGTACTAAATGTTATTGTCTTTTATTTATCAAAACCTTTCTTTAATATTGTCGGTGACTCATTTGAATTCCACCAACCATCTATTTCTGAGTAGCACCTGGGGAGCAGCTCAGATGTTTTTACAGTAACCAGTCTGGACGACCTTCCAAACCTTTGAACATCCGTGATGTGAACTGTTTTCGTTCGTTCGTTACTTTGATAAATGCAGCTTCTCTTCCTCTCATTGGAGGTCAGCTGACGGCCCCTACGCCTCGTATCTTTTAGGGGGGTCACCCCATAACAATCTGCTACAGTATATACAGTATGTGTACTGCATACTGTGTCACAGTACACATTGTTTTTGGAGAGAGTTGAGGACAGAAGCTACTGTCTGCAAACTTTTCTCCCAAACTTCACGTCGCTGTGGGAAACGGGTGCAGAAGTTATGGTGCTGCTGTAGAAACAGTTGATACAGTAATCCTTGTTCAGGTTCTGTCTGGAAACAAGGAGTCGACTGTTGTGAAAATATGCAGCAGGATGGGAGTGATCTCAAATGGCCCTTTGAAGGAGAAAGCAGTTTGTTCTACTTCGAAGAAATGTTTTTACAAAAGAGATCTCTTAAGGTGGACGGGATTTACGAGTTGAAAAATCAAATGTATATGTGAATTTAACAACACCCGTGACCCTAACGACCTGACAGAGGGCTGGGGATTTGATGGTTTCACAGTTCATTTGGTGACGATGTGGAGGAGCGAGCATAAAGTCTGCAGATGTTCTCCCGAGAAAATAGGTCCTTGTTTTCAGCGATCACACGCTGAGATCCATTTTTAGTGTTTGCGTGTGCAAGACTTGGGTTTGTGGTTAAATTGAATTCAGATTAAACTTGTGCATCAGACAGTCTTCACACCAGGAACCATTTAAGGAGAAGTTTTCTCATCGTTCCTGGTTTTATCGTTAGTACCAGATGACACGGTTGCTTTGGTTTATCTCCTCGGTCTCTTCAGGTCTGGAGGAGACCAAGTCTGCTCTCCATTCATCTTCAGTGGAGCCTTAACTCCTCTGCCTTTTTGCTTTTAGCTTCTAAGATTTTTTTTTTTAAGAGCTAAATGATATTAAGATGAAATGACGTGATGACGTCATGTCGTTGAGAATTTCACAGAGCAGGAAAGTGTCTTCAGGATATTTACGGCTCTCAAACCATTCATTTATCACAACCAGGTAATGTTAGGGGCCAAAACGCATCAACACAGCTGCACTTGGAGAGTGAACTGTTTCTTCATGTTCTGCCCAGCCTGGAGGAAACGTTTTGTTCCTGGGTGCCTTTGTACATTTTCTTTTTTCACTCACAAGTTGATTCCAACAGTCCTTTTTTATCAGCAAACTAAAACCCAACTTTAATTTCTCTCTTTCGTTGCCTTTTCTATTTTATTTCCTTGATGTCATTGTTTCTTTCTCACACTCCTTCTCTCCTTTTTCTCCTCCCCCATATCTGCATCTGCACTCATTTCTTTTTCTTTCTTTTTTAAAATACTTCCTGCTTCTCGGTTCTCTCAGTATTGTTCCCCGCGAATGTGTGTTTTTTTGCGTACGTTGCTAGAGAAGTGTGGGAACCTAGCTGGGTGTGTGTACGTGTTTTGGTTTTTTTTTTTTTTTTTTCAGTTTTACTCCAGTCTATTTCTCACCCTCCCTCCGTCTGTGGGAATAGAGATGATTATTTATCAGACTCAGACTTCTGTTTTGGTATTCTGTGTCTTGTTTGTCTGGGAACTGTTTACTACTGACTGTTTTCCTGTTTTGATGTTGACAAACCTACAGACAGACATTCCTCTCTCCCTCTTTGTCTCCAGCTTTATGACCATGTCACCGCTTTGACAGATATCGTGTATGTGGAGGAAAACGTTGTGTGTTGCACATCAACCTACGTGTGTGTGTGTACGTGTGCAGCTGAGAGGTGAAGGTGGTGAGAGGGTGGGGGGGCTGGGGGGGAGTGTCACTGCATGGGACCAAAGTTTTTCCCCCGTCTGAACAAACCCCACAACAGGAAACTCAGTTTGAATGACACGACCATATAAGGCACCAGGAAGTTAAGGTGATGGAGTCTCTGTGGCGGCCACAATCCCAAGACCTGGTCACCCTGGCAACAAGGGGTCAGACTGTGTGTAAGGCTGTCTCAAGTGAGAGGTCAACAGAAGTGTGAAGCATAAAGAGAGGATGTACAGCAGTGCTGTCGAGGTCAAAGTCACTGTGGGCCAAAATTAAAAACCATAAAGAGAGGATGTACAGCAGCGCTGTCGAGGTAAAGAGAGGATGTACAGCAGCGCTGTCAAAGTCAAAGTCACTGTGGGGCAAAATTAAAAACCGGGACGAAGTCACTTTTGGGTAAATATTGAATCTGGAACAAGCAAAGCTTAATAGAGCTGAGTTTGACATCTGTTGTTGATGTACAGTAACAAGGTAGAGACGTTTGATTCTACACTGACTAGAGTTTAACGGTAGAGGATTCTTAAAAAAAGAAAAAAAATACACTGAGGCTGTAACCAGTGTTGGCTGTGGTCACTGTCGGGAATTTGACATATTACATCACAGTGCAGTGACAGAGTCTAAAACAATTTGTTAGAGCAAAACAACACTGTTGTGGATTATAGTTGAGTAATGAAAGTCTTCCCAGAATTCCTCTGTGGAAACTTTCCTCACCTGGTGATGATGTTGAAAATGGAATTAAAAATCCATCTGCTCCTCGTATCTGATAAACAGCATCAGTGAAAGGTTTTCATGTTTTCTTGTTTTCCATTGATAAACAGCATCAGTGAAAGGTTTTCTTGTTTTCCATTTTTTTAATACTGCACGGTGTCTGTTTTGGTTTTTTTAATGTTGTTCAATTGAGTCTCAAATAGAAGATAAAGCCAGGCTTCACCTCCAGACATGGAACGACAATCATTCCAGTGAGAATCAAACGTTTGCTCTTCCCTGAGTTCCAGCATCTCATCCAAACACTGGTTCTTCTGGGCTTAAAAGCCAAAGTGAAAAACATGCAATTTACAAACCAAAGCCTGATGTCACTGTGGATTGGCACTTGCTCATAACCACTGGTTAAGTTCCTCCAGGAGACTTTGAACTGTTATGTAAGAAAAAAGAAAACATTTCTCGTAAAACTGAAAAATGTTTTCCAGAGGCAGTTGTCGGATCAGGACAAGATAATAACCTGTGGGTGGCAGTGCAAATACCTCATCACATTTTTTTTTTCAAATGGATGTTTAAGTATGGCTTGGAATTTCTCACTAGAACAACAACAGCAGGAAAAAACATCACACTTTCACCTAGATTCAGTGTCACAAAGACATTTTGGAATTTTATAAAGATCCACCCGGACCTACTGTGCTAGATGACTTTTTTACGTGTCCTTTATTGTGTTGATATATGTATTCAAATGTGTCCTGTGACCAGTTTCAGGTCCTAACATTAGTCAGGTCTCATTTTTCTCCATCTTTAATGTTATTAAAGAATCATCACTGTCGAATCTGTGAGATTACAGCGTCCCATCCTCTCAGTGCTGCAGCTCTAATAAATCCTAGATCAGGGTTCTGTAAATGGACATTTTCAGTGTCTGGAAAGACTGCGCGGAGGCCAAACGTCCATCAGTGTGTTCTCTGGCAGCTGGAATCACAGTTTGGCAGTGAGAGGATGATAAAAGTTTGATTTAATTTCTGTAAATCAGTTGATTTTTACTTTGCTGCAGCCTCCTGTGTCTCTTCAGATGCTCAGTTATATAATGGAAGAGTGTCTGGGTGGGGGGGCTGTCAAACCTTTTAAGTAGGACAGAGTGAGGAGTCTGGACACGCTGATGACCATCTGCTGTTCTTGTTTATTTAGGTTTACAAATAAGTGGCGTAAAAACAATCTTTCACGCAGCGTATGCTAAATAAACGAAGCAACAAAATGACTATGCCATGTCCAAATTGCTATGTCAGTGAAACATAGCACAGACAATAGCCACAACAAGCTAAACAGAACAACAACAGCTGACAGTTCGGCTACAGTGAGAAAGAAAAACAATGCTGCCCAAACATATAACTGGACAAAAAGAAAAGAAAAAATAATTTCTTCCTTTTTGACAAGCTAAAGACTTTAATCCTAGTTGAAAAAATGTGGTATTTAAACCGGAAATAATCAAAATGTGAATTTTATTTTTGTATTTTGCTATGATAATACGACAGATTTTAAATAGATTCCTTTTACACATATTTTAAGAGAAAATCCCAGATTTCCCAGAGACTGAATTTGACGCCCTTCTTTGTTTAAGGATCATCTTTGTTTGTAGCAGCAGTTGTTGACTTCTTTTAACTGCCTCTGTTTCTCAGAGAAACCTCAGTGAAACACGATCGCTGAGTCTTCACTTGTCGGCATTAGCCACTCAGGAGTTGACGCTGCGGCTCTTTGTGCGTTAATCCTCACCTCGTACACGGTTGCCGTGGCTTTCTTCTTCTTTTTCTTCTTTGTTTGGGCTCCAACAGAGAGTCTAGACTAAAGGAAGACACCGTTGGCCACAGACTAAAAATCTTTAAGCTTTTTCCTAGTTTAGTCAAATAAATCTGGTGTATTTTCATGAATGTAATTCATTTATTGGATTCCCTCCGTGCAGTTAGAACTAGCACCACCTGGTGGATGACAGGATACATTTAATCAGAGAGGAGGTTTCAAGTCTCTTGTCACAAAAAATGCAGATATAGAATTTGTGGCTGACTGTACCTGAAGTCAGTGAAGTCAGATGATGAGGGTGATGATGTTTACTGTGGATGGGTTTTAGTTGACCAACATCTCTGGCTGACTGTACCTGAAGTCAGTGAAGGCAAATCTGTGTTGGATAGTAGAGATGAACAACTCACTGGACTGGACTCATGGTCAAATCTTTAACCTACACTGTCCATCATCTCTATGTGTCATACAGCGTGTCTGTGTCTGTCTGTGTTTCTGCAGGTCTTCCAGAACAGTACTACAGCCTGACATGGTTCCTGAGTCCAGTGCTGGGCCTCATGTTCACTCCTCTGATTGGCTCCGCCAGCGACCGCTGCACTCTGCGCTGGGGCAGGAGGAGACCCTTCATCCTGGCTCTGTGTATAGGCACACTGATCGGAGTGGCTCTGTTTCTGAATGGATCACTGATAGGTCAGTATGCATTCTATTTGTTTTGGGTTCTTTTTGTTTTGTGGTTCCGTGCTCACACCTTTCCGACCTTGTTAAGCCGACTTATGTAGCCGTTTGCTTCGTCCATGCATTGACTTTGTCATTACATCAGTGGAGGTCATGGACTGTTACGTCATCAATGTCGTTACAAGGTCAGACTCATCCAGTCCAAACCAATAAATGGATAAACTGTCAGTCGGCGTTAGCGGACATCAACCTGATGCTAACTCCATCAATATAGTTGTGGTTACATCGACATTAGCCGCATAATGTGTCGCCGCTGCACGCATACGTTGACACGCACACACAGAGTGATGCTTGTGTCATCAGTAGACTGTTGATTAAACAGATGAGGACAAACACCATACAGCTGGCAGTCACATGATCAGGCGTGTGCTTTTAGTATTGTACTCAAACATTAAATACAATAGCAATAATAGTAATAATAATACTGATTATATTTGTATATGTGGTAGAATGGGTCGTCCATTCATTCGAAGATTTAACAGTTACAGTATTTTATCCTTAAGTTGCTGACTAAGTTGACGTCACTGACTAAGTTTAGACAGCTGAGTTAGCCAGTGAGACACAGTGTGTGAATATTCTCTCCTGTGGGAGTGGGAGGCATCAGGCTACAGTGATGTCACTGGTTCTGCCGTAAAGAACAAAGACGTTTCGTTGTACAATGACAAGACCGTATAAAAAGTAAACTCAAAAATAATCATTGTATGATCAGGTTATATTTAAACGTCTACATGCGTATGGGAAAGTGAGAGGCTCAGTGACCAATGACCTGCCTTTGTTTTAGAGAAATAATAGGATGATAAAAGTGGGAACTGGTACGTGTACGTATGTTGTGTGTGGATATAAATACGCGCGAACAACATGGATTGACATGGGAAAACTGCAGCAACCTGCGTGTGTGTGTGTGGGTGCGTGCCCGTGTGTGTGCCTGTCTTTGTGCGTTGACATGGGAACACAGAGGCAGGCAGTTCACAGGGAAATGCTTCCTGTTTGCTTCCTCCTCTCGGCCAATCACAATTCACTTCCTGTCTGTCTGCCTGCCTGCCTGCCTGCCTGCCGGGGTAGTGAGTAGTGTAAGTCCAGTGCGTCCACACAGACACACACACATGAATGGGTCTGAGACTGCAGAGTCATGCAGCGTCACATCATTGTCTTCTTCTTACACACAGATTTAAAAGCTTGTTGTTCCTTCTTTCATACATTTCATTCATCATTTCCTACAAAGACATTCAGGCTCCTGCAGCAAAAGGCAAATACACACACTCACACACACACTCTGTGTGAGCTGTTTGTTGGGCTGTAGTTGTAAATCACACAAACATTATTGATCCTCTCACTCCCACTGCAGGGAAAGGTGGAGACCAACAATTTATCCATTGATATTATCTGTTTATATAAATATATATATATAAACTATACAAATATTTGCCGTCTTTCTTCCTTAGGTTTGTCAATGGGCGACGAGCAAGGGCGACAACCCATCGGCATCGTCCTCACCGTACTGGGAGTCGTGGTGTTGGACTTCTGTGCGGATGCCAACGAGGCACCAATCAGAGCGTATTTGCTGGACGTGGCAGACGCAGAGGAGCAGGACATGGCGATCAACATCCATGCAGCCTCAGCAGGTGTGGTTGGTGTGCACTCACCGATAAAACGTTAACGTCTTTTGAACCTGCTGTTGAAGGTAGTTTCTTGGACCCCGTTGGCAGGTCTCGGTGGTGCACTGGGCTACGCTTTGGGAGGTCTGGACTGGACACACACGTTCCTCGGACAAGCCTTCCAATCCCAGGAGCAGATCCTGTTCTTCTTCGCCGCTGTCCTGTTCAGCGTGTCTGTCGTGTTACATCTCTTCAGCATAGAGGAACAGCAGTACTCACCGCAAAACGACAGAATCGACCAGGTACTTTATGTCTGCTGATATTTAGATCCAACCCAAAGCAGCGTAACTCTTGTTTGAAAAATGCCTCCTAACACACTACTCTAAAGCAGCGTAACTCTTGTTTGAAAAATGTCTCTCTGTCTTTCTCTCCTTCCAGGAGACGCCCGAACCCAACAACCAGCAACTACCAGCTAATGGACGGACTAGTCTTCTTGCTCCCAAGTTGGAAATGATCGGAGAGGACGAGACGTTGGACAGCTACGACCTTTACGACCCCTACGAAGATGAACAATCAGAACGAGAAGACATGGACATGGATTTCCTAGAGGTGGAACTCGTGAGAAGTAAGAAGAACACAGACTGATCTTTGTCTCATTCAGTCCTCTAATTTATTTAGTTGTTACATTAAGGATGCTTCGAGTGACACAAAAAAATATCTTTAAATTTAAATTGTTTCAGATGTCAGGGAGACTGATTGGTTTCCTCCTCTGAGGTCATTGAGCTTCCAAATAACTCATCTTCTCCTTTTCCATCTTCAGGTAAAAGTGACAGCGTTCTGGCCATGGCAGACTGCACCCTCGACCACCTGGACCATGATGGATTTTTCTTGTGCCACCTGGAGCCCTCCATCTTTGCCGACCGCCTCTCGCCATATCATGTTTCACCACCTACCACTTCCTCCTTCTTCAACCCCAACCACGTCGACCCGCACGCACGCTTCACCAACATCAGACGCAGCAGCAGTGCAGGAAGCCAAGACTTCCTCCGCCCCCAGAACACCCAGCACCACCACCAGATGCACTCTGGCGCCCCCAAGACTTCCCGCTTCTCTGCTTGTTTGCAAGAAATGGAGAACGATGATGGACAGGAGGCGCTACTCAACAACCAGCTCAATGAGCAGCGGACACTGAACGGGCGGCTGCTGGCCGGCATCGCTGCCACTGATGGAGTTAACACCAATAGAATCAGCTCCAAAGGGCAGGCCCACAGAGCTGGGATGGTCAAAGGTTAGAACCTGTGTATAATACGCTGAGAACTGTGCAAAAATACAAACAAATGTCCTTAAAGTAAGGCTGGCAAAAAAAGGGTTAAGCATGAGAATATATATTCAATAAATTAATCCACTTATGCTTGCTCTTATTACCAGACAATACACATGTTGTCATTTACACACACTGAGGGGAAGAGTTGATTAATCACAATTAGTCATGATTAATCCTGACTAATCAACCCTTCTTAATCCACAGCTACTCTGTGATTAGTTGGACTGAAGATTTAAATCACTTGACAACCTTACTTTGATGCATCACACAATCGATGGTTTTTCAGCCAAAATTCCAAACTAATTCACCTCCATGTCTGCTCCGTCACAGCTGCCAGTACAGGATCCTCCATGAGACACTCTCGCCACCGTCACACCTTCTACCGTCAGCCGTCCTGCACCTTTTCCTACTACGGTCGGATAGGGAATCATCGTTACCGCTACCGCCGGGCCAACGCCACCTTTCTCATCAAGCCTTCCCGCAGCATGAACGACCTGTACGATGTGGAGGCCAGACACAGAAGAAGGAGCAGGCAGAGGAGCAGACACCAAAGTGGGAACACCAACTCGTCCAGTGGAGACACGGAGAGTGAAGAGGGCGAGGTGAGGAGAGCACGGATACTTTAATCAAATCAGTTCCAGTGCTGTGGTTTGTTCCCATCATGTTTGGTTGTGGATGAGCTACTGGTAAATTCTCCGCATTTCACTTCAGGTGGAAACCACAGTGCGCCTTTTATGGCTCTCCATGTTCAAGATGCCTCCAGAGCTTCTGCGCCTGTGTCTCTGTCACCTACTCACCTGGTTCTCTATTATTGCTGAGGCTGTGTTTTTCACCGACTTCATGGGACAAGTCATCTACAACGGAGATCCCACGGTAAGATCTCTGGAACCTCAGCATAAACTAACATATGGAACTTATTAACTTTAACCCTCTATAAAAAAACCCTGGTGCGCAGACTGGTACCAGTCCATGGGTCATGTGGTAATGAACTGCAGTGGGCCATAGGGAAATAATTAATAATTTTGATTTTAATTTAAAAAGATTCCCATAATTTACATTTACTTTCTTAATTTAATAATACTCCAGTAATTTTCTGCCTCCTCTTCTGCTCAAACTCTTGTCTCCTTCGTTTTCCCCTCAGGCTCCTTTAAACTCTACTCTGCTGGATAATTATCACAAAGGCGTCCAGATGGGCTGCTGGGGCCTGGTCATTTATGCTATGACTGCAGCTACGTGCTCAGGTAACAACACACTGACACATACGTCCAATCATAGGGTGATTATGCCCAGAAACATTTTCTGGATTACATAAATATTGGTAAAGGTAAAGATTTACCAAAGTTACTGTAGAAATGTAAAGATATTACAAAAACAAGGCAAAACAGGAAACAGTAATAAACAAAAATTGTCATAAAATTTGTGAACATTATACTAATAATAATCTCTTACCTTGCTGTGGATTTCATTTATTTTCCAGCGATTCTTCAGAAGTACCTTGATAACTTTGACCTGAGCATCAAGGTCATCTACATCCTGGGCACGCTCAGTTTCTCCATAGGTATGAACAACACGGTGTTACAAACGTATTAGACTCAAAGGTGAACAGCTGCTGGGTCAGTTGGGACTAAGTGTTGTCCACTTGCAGGAACGGCTGTAATGGCAATCTTCCCAAATGTATATGTTGCCATGGTGATGATCAGCAGCATGGGCATCATCTCCATGAGTATCTCCTACTGTCCTTACGCTCTACTGGGACAGTATCATGAAGTAAAAGAGGTAAAGTATGAGTAACTTTTAGAATTAAAATACCAGATGTAGTTGTAAATATTTTGATTTGTTTTATTGATTTATTTTTTGCCTACAGTACATCCAGCACAGTCCTGGTAATTCTCGGCGGGGCTTTGGCATCGATTGTGCAATCTTATCATGTCAGGTCAGTTTTTTTACATAGTCCCTGGATTGAACAGATGATTTCATGCCGTGTGCACTTCATATAATTCATATAAATCTGTTATTGTGCTTTGTCTTTTCTGCAGGTGTACATCAGTCAGATCTTGGTAGCCTCAGCTCTTGGTGCGGTGGTGGAAGCTGTCGGTAGTGTACGTGTCATCCCCATGGTGGCCTCTGGGGGCTCCCTTCTTGGATTTTTCACCGCTTGCTTCTTGGTCATGTACCCATCTCCTAGCAACGGGTGAGAGCACCACCTGCCCTGATTCATTTGCTGCCATTGAGAAGCAGTTTAAAGTAGACTGCAGGCAATTTGAAAAGTAAACACTCGGAATGGGCCGGCGTTCAAACAGTTGTAAATTTGTTTGTGTGCAATTTTCAGGGACGGCGACTCGGCCAAAGCCCCAGAGAAAAAGGCCTTAACAGCGCTGGAAAATCCCAACAGTGGCAAAACGTCTGCAACAGTGGTGATAGAAAAACCCAGCTTCCTGAAACTCAGCAAGGAGGGCAAGGCCACAATTACCACTTCTTCCTGTCACAACGAAAATGAGTCTGCTCTGTAATGGGCTGGAGGTTGTCCACAGATCTGCTGCCAAAAGGCAAATAAATATCCTCATCAATGCTGTGAAAAAGCAGTCACAGGGTTGTCAGAAGAAAAAAGTACCTTTTGTACATCGGAGTTTTGATTTGCTGCAGTAAAGAAATCCATCTGGACCGGGACCAGTGTCAAAACTGACCAACATGCCCTACAAAAAAAATCCTTCTGGTCCCAGTTCTGCTGCTGCTTTGTTTCAGCTGCTGCTGAAAATCCCTTCCACTGAACTCTGGTGTCAGTCAGAGGCGAGCCTCACTCACAGGTCATGGTTTTTAAAGCAACACTATGTAACTTTCAGGATCCAAAAACAAAGACCTCACTACCTGAGACCTGGTTCAGACGTTCATAATCCTGGCATTCCTCGGCTTCTGGAACCAAAATATTTCACTTTTTCATAAAGAATAAGAGAGCTAGAACTTTTAGAACTTTTACTAAATGTTAAGATTCCTGTCTGCACTTGATGTGTGAGAACAAAGCCACTCACCAAAGTGCCACAGTGCAACGTAAAAGTCCTGGAGTGGGAATAGAAACAATAACATTCTTCCTGATTATGAAGAAGTTACATAATGTTGCTTTAAGATGAGTTTTCTTTACTGTCTCAGGGCCTCTAGGGGTCGCTACAGTGCAGCTGCTTGGGCAGGAACCTTCAGGGAATTCACACACACTTCATAGACTTTCATATTCACAGATACACACACACACAGACACAAACCACTTCATCTGATTCAGATGAACACCTGAAAATGAACGCTGGTGACAAAGAAGCTGCAGTCGTTTCAACAAAATAGTTCTTCCTTTGGTGTGGAGTGAGTTCTGAGTCTTCTTACGGGAGTCTTCTTAGACAACCGTGGATGAAAGTGTGTGTTTGTGTTTTGGGTCTAGACCGGAGGCCCAGTGATCACCAAACTCAGCTCTGCAACAGAAGCTTTAATAAGAGACTTTTTGGAAGTGGCATTTTTCAAAATAAGAGCCTGAAGCCTGTTTCCTGGGAGTGAAGTTTTGTCTTTTCAGCATTCACTCCAGGGTCAGAGTTATGTTGATTGAAGATCTCTTTTTGGTGAGTGTGAAGTTACATTGCTGTTGTACTGAGACAGTACTGATGTATACAGCGTGGTATTACAGTAAACAAAGAGACAGAATGCAATATCTGCAGCACACAGGGCATTACCATCCAAAAATACTATTTTCTTGTGGACTTAAAAAAAACAGATTACAAATTAGACCAACTTTCATGCTGCAGAAAAAAAGACAAACCAAAATTTGTCACTCTTTGTTGTTGTTTGTTACTAACTGCACATTAGTTGAGCCTTTGTTGATGAAAGTGCTGCAGCTTTTTGTTGACAAAAAATGATTATGAACTGGTTTGAAATTGTGGTTATTTGGTTTTTGACTGTCTTATGTAACCGGCAGAGTGAAAAAGATATGTTGAGTTTGAGTGGCTGCCGTGAAAAACAAACTCCTGTGTTTGGTGATAGAAATTGTATGGGTTTTTTTAAGCCTCATTGAAGTTAACTTTGTGGCAAATTAAAGGAGGTGTAGGTGAGATTTTGACACTTTATAAAACGTGTTCTATTTGCTTGGTGGTTTGTTGGAGAAGACAGGTCGCTTTCACTTTAACATCTGTATTAGAGAACACGTATCGAGCTAAAGTTGCTTATATTTTGCGCATTCTGTCCTCTGACGATAATGTCCGACCACAGACACTGATTTTTTTTTACATCAGAACGTTAAATGCTGTGCTTCTACTGTCAGGTGGACAGATATTATTACTTTTGGACAGTTCACAGCTGGCTGGTCTATTGTTTAGAGTCTTAATGCCAAGTAGCATGCTAGGCTTAGCTACAGCTTCATAGTAAACATGGTGAGAATACAGTCCCCAGAACAAACAGGGACATGTCTGCTAAAGAGACCGCTCATGTTGACTGGTTCTTGGAATGATATTTTGAGCAATTGTCAGAGAAAAGCGTAGAGTAAAAGTCTGCTGCTGTTGTTCTTGCCTAAGAACTTTCGTCTCTCTATTTGATTCACTGAACAGCAGATGGCGTTGCTAAAAATCACTTGAATTCCACAGCTAATAAAAACAGTGAAATTGTAGCGTTAGCTGTTTTTCTGAGGAGCAGGTGAAACTGCTGATGTCAGCTTTACTCCTGTCCATTAACAGCTACGAAGATGATGAAAATATGTCTTATACTGCACAGAGAGGAAACATTAATAAAAGTTATTGGGCATTTTGGAGGTTTGCATGCAAAAAAACAACAAAAAAACCCAACGCGATAATGCATGTGTGAAACACCAAAGTGTGACTCTGTAAAAATCACTAACGCTCTTGACTTTGTGGTCTCTTTAAGTCAGGGATGTATTTTCTAAAGCATGGCTAGATATCTGTGTCTTTTGTTTGAACTTAAAATGTGTAAAAGAAACAAAACAAACCCCACCATGAGCTGCTGAAGCCTGGTCCGGGTCAGTTCACTTTACCAAGCATGTGACTTTCTCACATTTTTGCACATTTATGAGAATGAAGAGCTCGTCCCATTGCTTTTCATCACCGATGGAAGGCATCAAAAGGTTTAAAAACAAAGACGAGACCTGCGTCACCCAGACAAGAAACGCCAAGTGGTGAAAACTTGAAGTGCAACTGGAGTGTTTTTGTTCAAATGCAGTGGAAAGGTTTTAGTTGTATTGTTTCTGCAGGGGATTTTATTTGTTTCTTCAAATCTCCAGCCTTCTTACTGTTGAATGTTCCGGCAGCAGAGCCACACGCTGGCCTGCCGCTGGATTGACTTCTTACCTTTGATTCCATCTGGTGACTTAACTATCATGGAGGGGGAGTTGTTGAATTTCAGTTGATTTTAGCTGATTTTTTTTTTGCGTGTTTTGTTTGAAAAGACAGGAGAGTCCGACATTGCACAGAACTTGCACATAATACAGAAGAAAAAGAAGTTTAGTTTTGAGACAATAAAAAAAAAAACTGTGGATATTTATTTCTATTTGGATTTTGTTTTCTTTGCTATAACGGGACACTTTTCACTTCCAAAATCAAAACTTGTTTTAACTGCTGTTACGGGAGGCGAAATATATTGTGTCGTTGCATGTCAATCAAAAACAAGGTTGTGTTTAAATCAAATATGTCATGTCGCTGTTTAAGTGTTGGTTCTTGTTCTGGGTTGTTTGCAATCACCTGGTTTACACTTAACTCTGGAATCAACGGCTGCAAAAGCAGGAGGTCATGGTTGGCTCCTGGTGTTTTATGTCAGCACTTTTTTTTCCTTTTCTTTTCAGAACTTCGGGCAGAGCCGTGCACACCACAGTTTGGCCTTTGCACATTTTAGCAGCTGTCGGGTTGGACAAACAAGTCATGCAGTTAGTCTGTGTGTAGAGGGGTTAGTGTGAGTGTGTGTGTGTTTTAGTGCGTGTGCGGTGTGCTCCGCCTGGATATAAATGTATAATAATGGAAAAGAATGATGCCTCTTTATAAATATATATATACATAAATATATGTATATATATATAATTTGTGAAGAAAATACTTTAAAGAATGGGAATTGATCTGCAATGTACTATACTTACAGTTATAATATGCCTTGTTATTTGAAAAAAAAGATGTAAATATATACATTTCTCTCATAGTTTCACCTTTTGCTGCTATAAAGAAGATACTTATTTTTGTTAGTTTTGTTTTCTATATAAAGACTGTATATATATACATACATATATATATATATATATATATAGGCACTATATATCTGTGTTCTGTAAATATGCTTGAGCCTCCATCTGTAGGTCTCTGGATAAACACTGTTTGAGAGTCACCTCTAAAATCTACTCAGAAGTTAAACCACGATGACTCCATGCGTTTTGTTTTCTCTCACTTTTCAGTAGTTAACGAAAATATTTGGAGAATAAAGTTGAAAAGGAGTCATGTATCTCACTTTTCAGTAGTTAACGAAAATAAAGTTGAAAAGGAGTCATGTGATTCCTCTCTTGTTGTGTTTACAGTAATTTCATTTGATTATAAATTAAAAATAGTAAAATAGTAGATAATACATCTTCACATGCAGTGTAGTGTTTGAGTTGCATTCAAATATTTGTTAACAGACTGTCAAGTTTACGTGCAACACCTTTTATGCAGCGCCTCAGCAATGACCGCTGTGTCCACACAGCTGTTGAAGAAGCTGCTGCTCTGCAGTTTCAGGACTGCTTTCTTGACAAAACATCTTTACTCAGCATATTTGGGACAAGACTACTGGTTTTCCCATTAGGCCCCGGGGCCAGACACAGAAGCCGAGATGAAGATCAGTGAACTTTTGTTCCTGAATAATCAGTTTCTATCTCCACCACAAGCACGAGGTCAGAGCTTTTGGATCTTTCCACACAGAGAAACCAGACGAGGAACCTGAAACTGAACTCAGCCCCACAGCATGATATGAACTGAACTATAATGACCTGCAACCCCTTCTGGAGGATTAAAGAGACATTTTACTCAAACCTGTTTTTTGCCGTTTAAGTTAAAAACAGGTCACAGAAAATTACCCTACTATTGTAAAAATAAATAAAATAAAATAAAATAAACCTGACAGGGTGTTCGGCTCAGTGCTAGAGTGTAAATATATTAATCAGTACGCAGATTAGTATACACAAAAGTGATTTGCGTAGACTTTCTATGCTGCCACGTGATTGGCTACCAGGAAGGAACACAACAAATGAAAAACAAGATGGCGACGACAGCTCGTTAATTAGCCACTCATTTGCCTCTGTTTGTTCGCAGTTTGATTATTGTTGCATTTTAAGCTAATATGTGTCTTTCCTCTTAGCTCTTTACGTGTTTACATTAGCATGGATGAGATGGGGAGGTAATTTCTTTGTCGTTAAGCTCCTCTCATTTTGGTTTAGGTAAGAACGTCATTTGTTTTGACATTTTCCATCCCTACAACTTCAAAAATAGTTCATAGACATAATGAAGAAATGGGACATTAAATTGAATTGCGTTTATGTAGAAATGTATGTTTAACTATAAACGTTTTTCTAAGTAATCAGAAATTACTTATGCAGAATCTTAAGGGGAAATTACAATTAATTATTTATTTATTTTTTGTCCACAGGACGACGTAGCATGTAGCTATAGCACTAGGTGTGCGTAGTTACCTCACACAAGCACGTTTAACAAAATACTTAAATATGTAAGGATACTTAAATGTCTTTAGTTTTATTTGTGTCGGTGAAATTGTTGCGTTGTGGCCATAAAATTTAATGACTTTGCTTTGTTTAAACCGCACATTCTACTGCTGTGGTGAGATGCTGACCTCTAGCGGACTAAATGAAAACAACTGTCGACATTTGAAATACAACTCGATAAATGAAAACAACTGTCGACATTTGAAGTACAACTCGAACCTAACACCAGTAAAATGACTGAATATTCTCCTTCTATCATAAGGTAAGGATGACATTAGTATGTCCTTAAATATCCTGCCCTTTAAAAACCTGCAGAATCATTTTTCCTCATCTGCTGATGTCACCTTGGGCACAATAAACAAAGACCTTAAAGAGTAAACCTTGAGAGGCTGTTAGGACTGTTTACAACACTGAAGACAGCAATTACCTTCAGCTTATAGTGTGTTGACTTTAGACTCTCTTTGTTCTTCGCTCTAACTCTTTCTTCAGGTCTTTTATTTTTATTTGAATGTTGTTGACATCATCTTTTCTGAATGTTTTTCATCCCCACGTTGTTTTCATGATTTCATGCTTGACATTCAGCAGCATTACATTTTAGTATTTTGATATTGGACAATTGGATTCAACTGCTCTTGTAAATTACAATAATTGTAAACACCTACATAAATTAATCCAGTAATACACACGTAAGATAACTTAAGTATATTTTACAGTTTCTTAAAATGCACTGCCTCTGAACCTGCAATGAAATCTATGAGTTACAGTGCTTTACATCATAAGCTTCAATAAATAACAATTTCCCATTATTGTTGTAGTCAACAATTTTATTTAAATCCCTTTGACTTAATTTTCTTTATTTCTTAAGGTTGAAAAACGTGATGAAATTTTAAAAAACAACACGGCTCCACGCTTGACAAATATAAATAATATAGTAATGATAAAAGTTGTCAAAGCTGTTGGAAATGCTTGTGAGACGTGTGGAGACATCTTTTAGTTTGTAAAATAATAATACACATTTCAACATAATAATATGTTGAAATGTTCACATCTGTCTCAGAACTTTTTGACTGACAATAACCTGCTTCTCCCAGGTGTGGATCTTTAACTCCTGCCTCAGAAATGCCCTCCCAGACGAACCCAGACTCTGTCAAGGTGAAGAATAATACAGTACTTCATTGTCTTAAAGCAGTACATGAGTACACACACCACATCATCCTGTAGTAATGTGGTCCACTCATATGTTGACCAGTGGTCCTGTGTCTACACAGACTGCACCACAGTGAGTGCAGACAGTGGTGCAGTGGTCAGAGGCAGGGCGGCCACACTGTGGACTATGGCCAATGCCATGCCAGGACATTTATTATATGAGTTCCTGTCTCCCTCTCCACCGAATGTGAGAGCGTCCCCTTCAGTCCAACCTCTTCTCCGTCTCCTCCACACTCTCTTAAAGCTGTCCGTCACAAAGCAGTACACCACTGGATCCAGGCAGCTGTTGAGGCTGCTCAGAGTCACTGTGATGTGATAGGCCAGCACGTGTGCCGCACCTTGACCCCGCAGCCCTCCCTCCCCGACTTTGACTCGGAAATACACCAACACCTGACGGACATGGAAGGGTGTGAAACAAACGGTGAAGACCACGAGGACTGTGGCTAGAAGCCTGATGGCCCTGGCCCTCCTCGCCCTGCTCTGCTGAGTCATCGGGCCGTGGGTGCAGGAGAGAAAACACGCAACGCGCAGGGTGAAGCCCACCACGGCCAGCAGGGGCAGGACAAACTCCAGGATGGTGAGGTAGAAGAGGGCGGGGAGCAGGACGCAGGAGGAGCTGAACTCCAGGGCTGTGGTCTGTAGAGAAGACAATGGTCCACACACTCATCATAAATACTGTATATCTATAAGTATAGATTACTTTACTGTATATACAGTATTTATTAGTATACACATTAAACATATACACCCTGGACTCGGAATTGTTTGTAATAATATCAGTGTCATTGACCAATAATAAATAAACTCTGTTATGGTATCATAGTAAACAAGTCAGGTAAAGTATAATATTGCAGTAGTGAAGCAACAGGTAATCAAAACACTGCCCTCCTGAGGCCACTTTGTGACAGGAGCGATATGAGTGCTAACTCATTTATTCTAGTGTCTTTTTTTTTTGTTACCATCAAGATCAAAGCCTGGTCAGAAGATACCTGGAAGGAGTAGGTGACCACCACAGCTATGAACCACACGGAGCCACTGATGCACTTGGCTGCTCCTGTGCTCCTCCACCGATGAAGAGTGCTGGACACATGGACCACAGCCAGATACCGATCTATACAGATGCTGAGGTCAGTGGAGCAGGTGAAGTCAGAGTCAAACCAAGAATCAATGTTCACACTTACATTAATAACTATATGCAGTATATATATATATATATAAATATATATATATATAAATATATATATATATATAAATATATATATATATAAATATATATATATATAAATATATATATATATAAATATATATATATATAAAATATATATATATATAAATATATATATATATAAATATATATATACAGTATATATATATATATTTTATATATATATATATAAAATATATATATATATAAATATATATATATATAAATATATATATATATATAAATATATATATACAGTATATATATATATATATATAGTGTATATGCAGTATTGGGCTGTTTTCAACCCACCTGGTGAGGAACAGTATACTGCAGTACATGTTTACAAAATAGCTGAAGGTGTGGACGTAGGTACAGGCCACACAGCTGCCTCCGCTGTGATACAGGGCTATGCGAGCAGGCAGCGACAGCGCCACCAGCAGGTCAGCTACAGCCAGGTTAATAGTGTAAACTACAGAAGCTGAGGAGTGGGCTGAGGCTCCACAGAACACATAGAGAGCCAGACTGTTGAGGACCACACCCACCACGAGCATCAGGCAGTTACACACCTACAGCAGGCAGGAACAGAAACAATAGAGATAAGGTGCAATAATTAGTGGTGCCACTAGGGGGAAAACGTTATTAGAGGACCAGTTCCAGAATTAAACTGTCAAAACGTGACTAGACTTTGTCCCAGCTCACCATCAGAGAGACCCAGACTGCGTAGAAGTCATGATACAGCTGTGCATCCAGATGAGCCAGCTTGTGCAAATGTGGTGCCCCCCATCGTTGGTCCCAGGAACTGCAGTTAATCAGGTCTGGGGTCATAATGTTCTCCATGGTTGGAGTAAAGCTGATGTTGAACAGAATGCTCTCCATTTATTTTGGAGTTCTGACTTAAATATACAAGTAAGAACAGAAGACAAAAAAGAGAATAATTAGTGAAAGATGAACAGAATGTATAATGTTGCAGGAAAGATTTTATAATAGTAAAATATTTGACAATCAACACACATGGCCTAAAATATTAGGGTCATATATATATATATATATATAGTCAAGCCAAGGCTCTGCAAAATTGAATCCTGTCAGAGACTGGTTTTATAAACACTGTCATCAATGACTGAATCCATCTTCATTCACTGCCTGAAAGGATGTGACTCTTTCAACAAAGTGAAGTACCTGACCTTGTGTGTTACTTTAAACACACTGTACTGTAGTAACCTAAACTATGTCACTACTGTATACTACCACATACAGAGTACTCCGTGGATAGATACGGTTTGTACCATACACAAGGCACATGTTTGCCCCGAGTAAGTCTCATAAATCTGATGAACGTGTCACATCCTGTGTAAATGAAAGGCTCCAGTAAAGTCTGGGACCTGCAGAGGCTTCAGCTTTTGGAAGGGCTTTTACATGAGTGGAACTGTACGGTGAGCTAAACACAGGCCTGTAATGGAGCTCAGGCCTGGCTTATGTGATTTTTTTTACCTGACAGTCTTGTTTTAATATGTTGGTGACTTTATGTCCCTGCTGTAATTCAACGTCCAAACACGTTTGACAGGGGAACTACTTAAAATACACATAAACCCTATAAATGTATCCTGCTGTCGTTAGTGAATTGGGTTTTGAAGTTATAATTTTACACAAGAAACTGTGAGGTTACAGTACTGTGAGTGACTGTGTAACAGTGAGTTCTAATTATAATTGAAAGTAACATAAACTAAGAATAAGGGAATATTCAACCAACAATATTGCAGAAATAGTCTGGAATTATTTGAAAGTAAAAAAGGTTAAAAATGTTAGTGCTAGCAGAAAATCACATGTATAGAACAAAAAAATATCAAGTTTAGAAAATTATCAAGTTATTGTCAAATATATAAAATATCTAGAAAATACTTTACTTACAATAATAACTGTTTTATTGCACTGTCAGAATTATTACTGTACATTCACCAGTGCTGTTAATTTTTGTGCAGATTTCTATTGTGTCCTATTCACTTATTTGCACGACTTTTAACATGTGGTCTGTGTTTTGGTGGACAGACCAGTTCTGTTTGTATACATGTAACCTTGATTTACTGTGTACTTCAGAATGAACATCTACTCAGTCACTGAACTGCTGAGAAAAAAAAGTACAAAATGGAAATACAGTATTTTACAAAATACAAATATGTCATGATCATGTCTGCTAAAGATTAATATATAAATTCACTGTACCTGATAAATGCGAGACAAGAATGGACGTCCCTTTTAGACCAAGTATTTGTCCATGTGTTAAAGTGGACTCCTTCATGTAACAGGGCAGTAAAGAAACAAAGGGAAAAATGAGTGTTGAAAAGAAACCTCCACTCCTCCTGGATCCACTCCTCCTGCTAACATCCAGTCGTGCAGCTGCACCTCCTCCTTATTTTCATGTCACACAATTTAAAAAGTGTCTTTTGTCCCTTCTTGTTGTGCAGGGCGTAGTTTACTTTTCACCCTAGGTGGAGTCAGAGGACAAAACCAAAGTTTTCGTGCGAATAGCAGGATTTATAAACATATCAGGTTTTAGGGAAAATAAAAAAGTCAGTCTATTTATATTTATAAATGTAATTTATGCAGGAATACAAATGACAGAGAGACATTAAAGAAAATTCAGTCCTGCAGCAGCTGTGGATCAGTGGACTGATGGAGTTGTCTTCAAACAGGGTGCAGTTTTACTAGTTTGCCCTTGTGTCCCTGGACAGGACTCTTCATCATGATGAGGAGGGGACTTTTCTACAGATACAAAATGTGTTGTTTTAAATGACAAAGAAAAAATGTTCAGATGAGGACCATTTCATTTGATCTGGTTTTTAAATCCGTCTCTCAGGTGGTCCAACGCTGGACGATACAGAAATGTTACACATTCTCTTACAGCTCTGTTTGGATCTGTGTAAAAGCCTGAGTCAGTAAAAAGAGGAGTGGACCAGGGGCTAATGGAGGAGTGTAAACTTCTGGAGATGTTTTCACCAAGCTGCCAGCCCATGAACCAGACTCATCAGATTTACACATTTTAGAAGCTGAGCTCTAAAAGCAGAGACGTTGTTTTTCATTTATGTGAAAAACACAGGTGATGTTTAAAGCCCAACTGCACCTCATAAAGCACAGGAACATAAACACACAGAGAGGTGGTCACTTTTACTGTGTCTATGTTCCTGTCACAGGCGTCCTTCAGAGACAGCTTTCAGAGAATTTTTTTTTTATCCTTCAGAGACAGCTTTCAGAGAAAAATATTTTTTTTGGGTTTCCTTCAGAGACAGCTTTCAGAGAAAAACATTTTTTTTTTTGGGTTAAGTTTAATGTAAGTAATGTGCCGTCATGTTCTTTATGTTCTTTTACTATACTTACTTTTTACTTGCTTTTTTTATTGGCAGCAGCCACCACTGGTGCTGTTGTATCTGTTTAATGTTTAATTGGATTTTCTCACTTTATTTAAACCATTTGAAACTACATACATTGTCTGTCTTTTCCTGGACCAGCCTGGTTTAAAGTACTGGAGGACAGACAGGAAGGATGTCCCACTTCATGCAGTACATACACTGACTGGAGTGCAGACATAAATTTGAAGTGGTTTATGCAGTACTGTAGTTCCCAGGCTCCCTATGGAGTTACTAATAGTGTATATGGGATTTAAAGGGGAACTCTCTGTGTAACTCTTCTCAGAATTTCAAAAATTACCTTGAAAATGTCCTCTTGTTACTCGCGCCCAACCTGTCATATCTCTGATCCCCACCAGAGGGCGCGTCAGCCCCACATTTTGAGAAGGATCGAGTTAATGTGCAATGCAGGCAGCCCACGGGTAGTTAGCCGTGATCGTGTAGAGGTTAGTACTCTGCGTTGTGGCCGCAGCAACCCCGGTTCGAATCCGGGTCACGGCAGACCATTTTTCTGGAAAAGTAACAGCTAACAGTTCTTGTTACACAGAACACGGGTTGTGGGAATAATCGACGAATTACAAACATAATGTATGATCTATGTAAATTTATCAAATCGATCACTATTTGTATCCCTTAAATATTGTGTTTTTTATATTGTTTTATTATATCAAAAATATTTTAAAATACCGATTTAAAATTATACGTTTAGAATGTAGTAAACCAAAAATTAGGATTTAAATTAAATTAAGAACACTTTTTTGTGACACGCGACTGTTGTTGTTTGGAAAATGACTGTAGGCACAAGCGGAACTATTGCTTGACAGTTGTTCCGCAAGGGGACCATTCATAACAGCTGCACAAGGGTTTACTGTCACGCTGCGGATTGTTGCGGTAAATACCAGGGTGATAAACAGCAATGATATTCATGTTTTAATGTCCTTTTTGATGTATATTTTAATCTTTAAATGTAAAAAGTTATCGCTACAGTTATCTACACCGGTGCGTGCTTTTAAACCCTTTTATTAGCCGTTAGCTTGTAAATACAGTGGAGTAGAGTTGCCCTGTTGTGATGTAAAGTCGCATTTGCTTCTGGGTTAAGGTTTATGAAAAACACTGAATTTCCGATCTTAGTTTTTTAAAGTAGAGCACTAACTACTTTTGGTATTGGCTGTGTTGTTGTTTTTTTTTTTTATTCAAATGTTATCTTATACGTTGTTGTCCATCAGCTTTTATTGAAAATAGAGCTACAGCCAAACTATTCAGATCAACTGTGGACTCCACTGCTGTCAGTTAACAGGTGCTTTATTTTGTTACCCACATGTTTTAGGAAAAAGACTTATGGTGCAGCTGGGATGGAAACTGCAACACAAAATGTGGCTGTCAAGGGTGAAGCTGCTCTCAGACCAGAGTAGGACACTTTATATAACGTTAACACTTGATGTTACAGTTTCACAAATGTATAAAAGTGGAGAAACTGTTGTCTTCTTACTTTCGTTTCAGATTTATAACAACCAAGGAAAAGTTTCATGACTTCATAGACACTGAGTCAAGTAAGAAAAATGATGACGATGGTGAGACAGCTGAGAGCACAGAGGAAACCTGCGCCGAGGAACCTGAATCTAAGAAGTTGAAACTCAACCCTGAAGAGAAGCCCAAAGAGGACAGGCCAGATTGTAAACGCCATCGAGGACAGAATAAATCCAGGCCTCACGTAAAACCAAACACCTATGAAGAAAAACGCCTTTGCCTCTCAGTTGTTAAGGTACGAAGATTGAATAAACAACATTGTGCACTGTGTTTTAAAAAAGGAGTAGCAAATGAAAACTTTTCATTTTTCCATTTAGAACAATGTGTGTCCATTTGGAGACAAATGCCGCTTTTTTCACGATGTGGCTGAGTACATGGCCTCCAAGCCGGCCGACATCGGTGAAAGCTGCCACCTGTATGACACGTTTGGAAAGTGTTCATACGGCGTCTCCTGTCGCTTCGCCAACGCACACACTACCCCTGACTTCAAAACCATGGAAAACAAAGACCTGGTTGCAGCTTGGGAAAACAGGGCCACGGTGAGGAACAGCTTGAATAAAGAGCTCCAGACTCGCTTGAGGAAACGTTCGGAGCCCTTTACCAAATCAGTAGAGTACTTGAAAATGCTTTCAAAATACAAGGACAAGAAAGAGCAGAACAGAAATGGTAAGAGCCTCACTGGGGTTGGAATCTTGGATGGAATTTTTTTATGTAGAAATTTTCTTTCTATCTTTCTTTTCAATGTTTTGTTTGAAAAATGCAGGTGAGTCTTGCCCAGCTGCGGTGTCAACGGATCCAACAAATGAACAGCAGCATGTGTCTGCAGAAGCAGATACACAGGTAGAGGAAGCTCTAAATTCAACTGTACCTTTCTACTGTATGCTAACTGTCAAGGCTTGCATTTTGTTTTATGTTGTTTTTTTTAACTACTTCCATGTTCTCTTTGTCTCCTGCAGCAGACAGTTCCAGACACACAGCCTCCAGTAAAGACCATTGGTCCACTTACTGATGCTGATGTCATCAAGTTACGGCCATGTGAAAAGAAACAGGTACTTCAACTATATCTTTCCCAAAAAAGGGTTCAAGCGATTCCTTAATTTGAACAAAATATAGACCTTTAGTGTTACCTCGTGTGAATAATAACTTCTGGGTTTCTGTGTTAAAGGTGGATTTCAATGACAAACTCTACCTTGCTCCTCTAACAACTGTGAGTATGAGCAGTAAATGCACAGTGATGTATAACACCCTTTAATTAAAGCTGTGTTCACAAAGTAGGGGGCAAGGATCCATCACAGAGTGGGGCTGATAGGCATTTATATTTCAATATTGATTGAGATTGGACTCTTATTTGTATTTAACCCTTTGATCTGACCTCAATCTCCTTCACTGCTTCCCACAGTGTGGAAATCTGCCTTTCCGTCGTGTTTGTAAGCGTTTCGGAGTGGACATCACCTGTGGAGAGATGGCGATGTGCACCAACCTGCTGCAGGGCCAGCAGTCAGAGTGGGCTCTCCTCAAGAGGCATGAGAGTGAAGATGTGTTCGGAGTCCAGGTGAGTCTGTCTGAAGAGTCAGGAACAGGGAAACAATAAAAGATGCTTCTGTGTAAAACTGAAGGTTGTGTTCACCGTGTCTCCAGGTGGAGGGCTGTTTCCCTGACACCATGACCAGGTGTGCAGAGCTCATAAACAACAACACTGACGTTGACTTTGTGGACATTAACTCTGGATGTCCCATCGATCTTGTCTACAAGAAGGTAGACGCCTTTCAAACCCTACGTATTTGATGAACATTAAGTTTTACTTCATTATCACTTCATTATTCTTCTTACTTCATTCATTATTAACCCTGAAGAATTGTTGGATAAACCCATTAATAATAATGGGGTTTATTAAGATTATTAAGTATACATTAATACTTGTATTATATTCATATGTATTTCGAGCACTGTACTGACAGGAACAGACAGGAAATATTACACATCACCTGACCTTCTCACTGACAGGTGGTGTTTGTTTAATCTGTCTCATCAGGGCGGCGGCTGTGGCCTGATGACTCGCACCAGAAAGTTTGAGCAGATAATCAAAGGAATGAATTATGTAAGTGTTTGTCTCTCTCTCTGTGCACAGTCTGTGTTTCTGTCCAGTGAAGACACTGTGACACATCAGTCAGGCCTAAGTCCATCCAACCCTACAGCATCGCTACCAAACCCTTTATTATCAACGTCTTCCTTTTCTAGGTCCTTGATGTTCCATTAACGGTTAAAATCCGCACTGGAGTCCAGGAGAGGAGCAACATCGCTCACAAACTCATCCCAGAAATGAAGACCTGGGGCGTCTCTATGATCACAGTACGAGATTTTAGATCTAAGGCATTAAATAATGTAAGTTTATTAAAGGTTTATTAAAATCATATCTAACTTGACGCTGCTGTGTTCATACAGCTGCACGGTCGATCCAGGGAACAACGCTACACAAAACTGGCCGACTGGGACTACATCTCCACCTGCTCTAAGCTGGCCAGTCCTGTCCCACTGTTTGGTAAGATGTTCCTGACGTTGGCTGTGCTTGGAAACAATTCTAAAGTTAAAAATGTAGATTACTTGGCTGTGAAATGGGAAAACTTTCACAATCCCACGTGTATGATTGTGAACAGAAATTAAAAAATAAAAACTTGGCCAGGTCACTCATGTTGCCTTATTTTTGTTATCGCAGGAAATGGAGACGTTCTCTCCTACGAAGACGCCATGAAAGCGAGAGAAACCGGAGTTTCTGGTCTAATGATTGCAAGGTGACTGCAAAACCTCAGAGTCAGTCAGAACAGTGACATATTTACACTGGTGACTAAATGAATACTGTTTATGTAAAACTATTGTTTGTGACATTTGCGTGTGTTGTTTGACTCTTCAGGGGAGCTCTCATCAAGCCCTGGATCTTTACTGAAATAAAGGAACACAGACACTGGGACATTTCCTCCTCTGAACGACTGGACATCCTCAGAGATTTCACTAACTTCGGTCTGGAGCACTGGGGGTCGGACACCAGAGGTGTGGAGAAGACTCGCACCTTCATGCTGGAGTGGCTCTCCTTCATGTGCAGGTGGGCAACATCAATATCTACATTAAAAAGAAAAGTAGTTCCTGATGTTCATCCTTCTGGAGTTTGTTAATAAGTTCACAATAAGCTCAATGTTAGGGCATAAAATGCTCATTTTAGCCTAACAAACTTAGCTTATGGTTTAAAAAAATGTTAAATAATTAGCCATGTATTTAAAATTTGTACACAAAAAAAAGCATTTGTCATAGAGAAGTTGGTGTTAGCCTCCAATAGTTACAGTGTATATACAAATATTGCAAAAATATATCAAATAAATGTCCATGAAACAGGTATAAAGCATACTGTGAACAGCTAATCTTTAGCCACGGCGCAAGGTAAAAGTTTTGCAGTTCAAGAAAAAGTGGGAAGAAAGAGATGAGCTGCAGTGCAAGTGACCAGATCAATACACCTGTTGACAACAGTTTACATTTTTCTCTCCAACAGATACATTCCTGTGGGTCTGTTAGAGCGAGTGCCACAGAAAATCAATGAGAGACCTCCATATTACCTGGGCAGGAACTACTTGGAGTCACTGATGGCCAGTCAGAATGTTGGAGACTGGGTCAAGATAAGGTGAGCCAGAAACATGAACATTAAAGAAGTTATGGTAACATTTAAACATTCAAAATACTAATTTTTTTTAATTCTCCAGTGAAATGCTCCTCGGTCCTGTACCCAAGAATTTCAACTTCTTACCAAAGCATAAAGCCAACGCCTACAAATGACCTCTTTGAAAACATAGAGGGTTTTTTTTTTCTTTTTAACTAAAGTTGTTTTCTTTTAACACACTATTAATCAGGTTTGATATGTGGTGCAATGAGTGGATAATTGTGTTCTAATGTGTAAATATGCCTCAATAAAGTATTTGTATACTTTGTGTCAGTAGATTTTTGTGACATTGACTCCATATACTGAAATATTATACTGACGTGTTCTTCAGGACTGATTCTAATAGATTATGATAATCAAAAAGGTGATATGAACGTTGGTATGGATTAAATATTTATTTGTGCAAGCTAATTATTACAATCACAAAAAAAGAAAATGTTGACAGCCCAAAACTTTCTGCACTTCAAAATAATAACAATAACAACATTGATCATTTTTATTTATTTTTTTTTTTTTTAATTTTAAACTATTCCCTTATCGCGGATAAAAATACTTTTGTGATGAACCGCAGTTCTTTCACGTTACAGCTTCAACCCTTAGACTGTAAATATAGATGACTTTTGTGCTTTGGTTAAAAACGGTTGTTAATGGAGTTGTTATAATTTTGACTTTATTGTGGAATATTTTCTCCTTTTTTATATACTTAATATTTTTTATATACTTATATACTTTTTTATATAATACCTAATAATACTTGGATGATATCGTCGGTCAAATCGATATAATATTCAGTTCGCTGAACGATAGTTTTGCCATCGTTTTTGCTGGACTTGTAATTAAAAACACCTGACATCATTTCGCCCGTTGATTGCAGGCTTCAGGTGGAACTCATTCTCCGCCAAGTGACATATCTACCGCGGCCGCAGGCGGCGTGTTTATCCGGGGACTAGCTGCTGCGGCAGACCTCTCACGTGGATCCATGGCTGGACTGAGGGTTGAGCTGCTCTTGGTGCTGGTCGTCCTGGTCCTGGACCTACCGCGGTCTGTGCTGATGGGTTCAGTCCGAACAGTTTACATTTTTCTCTCCAACAGATACATTCCTGTGGGTCTGTTAGAGCGAGTGCCACAGAAAATCAATGAGAGACCTCCATATTACCTGGGCAGGAACTACTTGGAGTCACTGATGGCCAGTCAGAATGTTGGAGACTGGGTCAAGATAAGGTGAGCCAGAAACATGAACATTAAAGAAGTTATGGTAACATTTAAACATTCAAAATACTAATTTTTTTTAATTCTCCAGTGAAATGCTCCTCGGTCCTGTACCCAAGAATTTCAACTTCTTACCAAAGCATAAAGCCAACGCCTACAAATGACCTCTTTGAAAACATAGAGGGTTTTTTTTTTCTTTTTAACTAAAGTTGTTTTCTTTTAACACACTATTAATCAGGTTTGATATGTGGTGCAATGAGTGGATAATTGTGTTCTAATGTGTAAATATGCCTCAATAAAGTATTTGTATACTTTGTGTCAGTAGATTTTTGTGACATTGACTCCATATACTGAAATATTATACTGACGTGTTCTTCAGGACTGATTCTAATAGATTATGATAATCAAAAAGGTGATATGAACGTTGGTATGGATTAAATATTTATTTGTGCAAGCTAATTATTACAATCACAAAAAAAGAAAATGTTGACAGCCCAAAACTTTCTGCACTTCAAAATAATAACAATAACAACATTGATAATTTTTTTATTTTTTTTTTTATTTTTTTAATTTGTTATTAAACTATTCCCTTATCGCGGATAAAAATACTTTTGTGATGAACCGCAGTTCTTTCACGTTACAGCTTCAACCCTTAGACTGTAAATATAGATGACTTTTGTGCTTTGGTTAAAAACGGTTGTTAATGGAGTTGTTATAATTTTGACTTTATTGTGGAATATTTTCTCCTTTTTTATATACTTAATATTTTTTATATACTTATATACTTTTTTATATAATACCTAATAATACTTGGATGATATCGTCGGTCAAATCGATATAATATTCAGTTCGCTGAACGATAGTTTTGCCATCGTTTTTGCTGGACTTGTAATTAAAAACACCTGACATCATTTCGCCCGTTGATTGCAGGCTTCAGGTGGAACTCATTCTCCGCCAAGTGACATATCTGCCGCGGCCGCAGGCGGCGTGTTTATCCGGTGACTAGCTGCTGCGGCAGACCTCTCCCGTGGATCCATGGCTGGACTGAGGGTTGAGCTGCTCTTGGTGCTGGTCGTCCTGGTCCTGGACCTACCGCGGTCTGTGCTGATGGGTTCAGTCCGAAGCTGGACTTTGGACGACGACGACGACAGTAATCCGCTGGACGACGGCGGTGGTTTTGAGTCAGATGAGTGGAACCAAGGCTTCGTTTCACTGCAAGGTTGAGTTCATTTGCACCGGGAAATACTGAAATTACTACCAGTTGAACCAGAGTCAAATGTGACAATATAATTACATGCCGTCACCTGATGGTGGACGACCTCAACTAATTAATGCACTGCATCTGACTTAATCAGGTGGCTGTGTTTAATTTAACAGTAATGTAATTCAAGGTAGACGTTTTTAGGCAAGTTATGTCAATATAATGCTTTAAAAAAAAGTATAAGGGCAACTAAATTACCTATGGTTAACTAGTATTTATTTTCACCAGGGTTCTGAAAACTAGTATAAAAATTAAACTAAAAAACTAAGTTTATTAAACTAAGAAGTTAAAAAAAAGTGATAAAATTACAACAAAAAAAGAGCACACTGGCCAAATCAGGAAACGGTAATAAAAAAATATTTTGTAAATCCCACCTTCCTCCACACAGAGGCAGGCCACCATGAAGAAGAAGACGAGCCAATTCCTGAAGATGCACTTCCTGAAATGGAAGTTTCCGCCCCCGCTCGTCTTCAGTCCTTCATTCCTAACCATGAATACGGGGTGGAAGGTGGAGGCTCTGATTCCCAGTCTTGGCTCAGTGTAAAGGACATAGATCGAGGCTACGAGGTGGATTTTGTAGATGGGCCAAGAAGCTGGAGTACCACCAATGGTTGGGAATCAACAGGACTAGATGATGACGATATCGACTATGAAGACTTTAGTGCCTCACCTCGCTCCATAGACAACACGGAAAAGTGCAACAGCACTGACTCAAAGGCACAAAGTGAGTACCAACTTTGTTGGACATTGTACTATGATGGCTGAATACTTCCTGCAGCTGTGACATGTGCAGAGACACTGGTCTACCCTGTGCCTTGTTTGTTCCAGATTGTGCTGTACCTTCAGATGAGCGGGTGCCATGTGGTTCCTCAGGAATGTCGGCAGAAGACTGTGAAAAGATGGGATGCTGCGTGGATGTGTTGCAGTCAACTTGCTACTATCCAATGGATGGCAAGTCCTTCTTAGGTTATTGTTCCTGTATCCACAAAGGAGTAATTTGATCACGTTCCTCTTTTCTCTTTAGAGTGCACTGGCGATTATCACTTTGTTTTTTCCATTCGCTACGATTCTGCAAAAATCCCCGTGGACCCTTCCAAGCTCGTTATACCTGGACATCCAGAATGTAAACCTGTCATTGTTAATGACAAGGTGGCCATCTTTAAGTTCCAAGTGACTGAATGTGGAGCCCGTGTTTATGTAAGTCATCCTGCCTGTGCGTCTCGGAAGAATTTTGATTTGATCATTGATATAAGAGAGTTATGAATTTATATTGGTGTTGAACCTCTAGTTCACTTGACCTTTGACACTGACACACACAGGAAATGGATGTAGTTCACTCACGATATGTTATGTTGCAAATGGAAGATGGGGAGAAGTTCCATGAATTTGTTGAATTTTGTGAAGTCCAGAGTAAGAACTAATCCTCCAGATGACGGTTCTTCTCTGCAGGAGCTTGGTGACACAAAGATCTACCTGGCTGAGGTGCAGACTATTGTTCAAGCTCTCAACCTCAAGTATGGCATCATTACAAGGACTGATCCCCTCAGGTGAGCAGTACATAGTACACAAATCCTCAAGATCGTGTCGTCGGTACTTTCTTCTTCAACTGCGTTGACACTGGACTTGATTTCGTCAGATTCCTGATAGAGTGTCGCTACAGCAAAGATGGCTCTGCTCTGAAGGGCCTGTCCAGTGTTGGCTTCATGGTCAAAACTCCGTCCTCCATTCTGCCGTCATCAGTTGTCAATAATGGGTTATTTGCTGTTCAGCTAAGAATTGCTAAAGGTCTGGAAAAGACAATTCCCTACTTGAATGTTGTAGACCAATGTTGTTCACCTGCAGTTCTTATTAATGTTATGTCTCTGTAACCCACACAGATAAGATGTTTTCAAGTTACCTGCCAACATACCATCAACCCTTGCGAATGCTCCTGGGCAGACCGGTGTATTTAGAGCTGCGCATTAAGTCTCCTGTCCCAAAAGCAACACTTCGGGTCAATTACTGTCTGGCTTACCCTCGCACTGCAAAAAATGCACTTGTGATGGTTTATGAAGGGTAAACTTCAGTCTGTGAACTGATGGTTTATGAAGGGTAAACTTCAGTGTGTGAACTTGTTTGTTTTTTGTTTTTTTTTTTTTTAATTTCTTTGCTCTCATTCTTGTCCACTTGTTTCTGCAGCTGTGCCAACCCTTTAGACCCCAGTGTGTCAATCCTTAAAGTCAGTGACCTTCCAACAAATCGCCACCAGAGGCGCTTCATCGTCACAGCTTTTCAGTTCATGGATCAAAAGACAAATAAGTACCTTGATGAGGAAGTGAGTGAAAAATTTAAACTATGAACTTTTTTAAAGCTAAAATCGGGTAGATGTTTTTCACCACTTGCCTGACATCTCTTCTATGCCCTTCAGATATATTTCATGTGCTCATCAGAAGTATGTATGCCACCAGAGAAGTCCTGTGAGGCACGCTGCTTTGATGGAAAGGTGTGGTAGTTGCTTTATTTTGCAAATTATCAACACATTTCTGTAATAAAACTCTAATATCTCTTTTCCTAGGCACCATGAGGACATTCTCTAAGACTTGACAAGAAACAAAATAAAAGTTTTATGTTAGACTAGTGGCTTCTCTTGTGTTTGTAAGGCAAAACTGTGAAAAATGTACTTAAACCTAAAGATTATCTTGGTTGAAGCTTCTATAATTAGCAATGCAAGTATTGGGTATTCAATTTAAATAGCATTTAAATAAAGTGATGACTTCAGCGGCAAGACAGATGTCTTATCGGCAATTGAATGTTATCATTTTTAAAGATAATGATTTAATCAAGACTTTATGAAAGAGTACTATTACCCAAAGAATACTATTCATATGGTGAAACAGAGGTGGTCAGAACACAACTGTAAGAGTAACCTGGATAATTTAAGACAAAACATTGTGAAAACTATCACAAAAGAATCTTGTTTAGACAAACCACTAAACTTTTTTAGGATGGAAAATATTGGATTAGCCTCAAAGTGAAAACCCTTAAAATAAGTGAATTTCTATATCCAATGTACTATACTTCTTTTCCATGGTTGGGGAATCTTATTTTATGTTCTTTAAGTGGGTTTTAAGAGGCTGCGAGAATTTAAGTAATAAAAAATGTGAAAACGGAACTTCAGAGACGAAAAAGTGATACCCTG